TTTAATAATCTTATATATATAAATTAATAAAGGTATAAATAAAGGTACAATTTTATATATAATAATAGCTTAATGTAAAAAGCACTAACCAGCTTACTGGTCCTGGGAAATGTTTTTAAACCCCTTAAGCCGCCACTAGGTAGTCCATATATAACACCAGTAGTTCCTTAAAGCACTAAATAAAAAAAAGGAAATTAGCTTATTAAAAATTACATTTCCTTCTTTTAAATGGTTTTATTATTTATATAAATAAATAATTAATAAGTATAAATACTTATATTTATTAATAATTAATAAAATAATATTTATTATAATATTTCTTTAATATAAGTCCTTAATAAAATATATTTTTTAATTATTATTAATTATTTTAAAAAAATTTAAAATAATAAAAATAATTATATAAAAGAATTCTATAATATTTTTAAAAATAAGTTTTACTTTTTTCTAAATATTTATTATATAATAAGAATATAATAAACTTAATTTTATATAATATTTTTATTTATCCTTATAAAAAAAGTAATTATTTATTTCTTTATAATATATTTTAAACGTAATATTTTATAAATATATATTTAATTATAAAATAGCATTTTAATATTAAATAAAATAAGATTTAATATTATTATAATTAAATTTCCACTATTTCTTTAATATTAAAGTAAAAAAGTAAAATAAAAGGAAAATCAATATAAAAATATTTTAAATTTTACTTAATAAATTATTATTATATTAAAGGACTTTAAATCCTAATTTTAAAAAAGAATAATAATTTATTACAATAATATATTAAATTTATTAAACTATATTTTAATTATAATATATTTTTTTTAAATTATTAGTACGTTTTAAAGACTTAGTAAATAAACTTTAAATATTTATTAAAATTTACAAAATAATAAAAAAATAAAATAATTTATAATAAATAATAATAATAATAATAATAATAATAATAATAATAATAATAATAATAATAATAATAATAATAATAATAATAATAATAATAATAATTATATTTATTACATTAATTAAAAATATTATTATATTAATAAAAAGAGTAAATATAATATAAAATAGTTTTTTAAAATATGGAAATAACGATATTAAGTATATAAAAAAAAATATTAATTTATTAAATATTTAAAATATAATTGAAAAAAAGTTAAAAAAAAATGGGAAATTAAATAAAGCCCTTTTAAAAAAAATTATATAACGTTTTTAACAAATTATAAAAGCATTAAAAATCTAAACTTAAAGTCCAAATATAAAAGGAACGAAATAACTTAATTAATATTAAACTTTAATAAAAATAATAATTTATATATAATTATTATATATTTATTTAATTAAACATTTTATTACCGAATTATTACTTATTTTCCCGCAAATAACCCGAAATCCGACACAATTTTTATATTAAATTAATATATAAAAAATATTTTTTAAAAGATTATGTTAAATATAAAAGTAACTTAAATATTTATAATAAAAAAGGGTTAATGTTTAATTTTTATTAAAATATATTTAAATAAATAATTAAAAATAAATAATATTTGCATTAAAAAATTAATATCTGATTTAATAATAAATTATTTATTAAATTACTTAACATAATTATTATAAATATCTTTTTTAATAAAATAAACTTTTACGTTATAAAATTAAATATTTTATTCTTATTATTATTAAAAATATAAACTAATTAAAAATATACTTTAATAATATTATTAATTAATTAATATGTAAAAATAGTATAATATTTAATATTAAAAAAAATAAGAACATCTGTAATTTTAACTTAAAAATATTATTTATTTTATAAAAACAAAATTTTAATAATTATATATCCAATTTAACTATTTATTAATTAATAAATTATATAACCTTTTAAATAAAATTAATTATAATATTAATATAAATAATTTTAAAAAAATTAATAAATTTTATTATTATTATTAAATAAAAAGTAAAACCTTTTAACAATTTAAGTTTATTTTAAAAAGTTTAAATATAAAATTTAATTATAAACTAATTATTAATATTATATATTTAAATAAATAACCGGTCTTATATATTATTAATATAATTATAAGTTTTTAAATAATATAATTTATAAAAAATATTATTATTAAAAAAATATAAAAAATATTAAAAAAATGTTAAATTAACATTTATTTTAACCTTTTTAATATTATTTCTTATAACGCGAGCATAAACTTTAATAACCTTAAATTCCGGAATAAAGTATAAATAATAAATATTACTTATTATTAAGTATTAATAAAAGCTTATTAATTTATTAAAAAAATTAAAAAATATTATAATTTTATTTATAAAGTATATAAAATTATTATTAATAAATTTAAAAACTTTAATTTAAAAGTATTATATTTTTAAATAACTATTAAAATAATTAATAATATTATTAATTTAAATAATTTTATTTTAACTTTTTTAATTTTTAATATTTATTTAAAAATTAATATAAATTTACCATTTATTATTACATAAACTTAAAAAAATTAAATTATAATATTTTATTTATAATATTTTAAATACTTATAATAATTTTAATATTAAAGTAACTTCTTTCATATTTCTTTTTATTAATAATAAAATATTCATTTATAAAAAAAAACAATTAAAAAAACCTTATAAAATTATCGTAATTATTAATAAAAACGTTATTATTATTTTAAATATATTAAGCAAAATATTCACCTTTTAAAATTTACATATTAAACTTTATATTTAATTTAAAAAAACTTAATTTTATTAAAAGAAATTAAAATTAAATTACCTAAACTTACATTTAACCTTTATAATTATTAACTTATATATTAATATTAAAAAACGGAATAACTTTAATTTAACACTTTAACTTTAAACGAATAAAAAAATAATTACATTAAGAAAACTATATAAAACATTAAATATAAATATTAATAAATACGAAGTTAAAAACAATCGCTAATAAAGTAATAACAGGTAAAATAAATAACAATAAAGTAAAACTGGTATATTAATAATGTTTAAAGAAAGAAAAATTTATTTAAGGCTAATTAATAGTGTGATATCCTTTTATATAATAATAATGGGTACATTGTTCTTTTTTCCAATATCGGTAATAAAGTGCTTACATGTTAATATTACACAATTATTAATAAAAAAACTAAATGTTTTATTTTAAAAAAAAGCATTTTTTAACTTAAAATATATAATATAATAATACATTAAAAAGTAATAATATTTAAATTATAAATAATCCATAAAATTAAAAGTAAAAATATTTCCGCGCTTTATAAAAAATCACGCTTAATAATTTAAAAATATAATAATTCTAATAAAGTTTTTTTTATAATATATACACTTACTATTTAAAGAACTAATTAATAATTAATTTTAATTTTAATTTTTATATATTTATTAATTAAATTAAAAAACTAATATTATTAAATGTAAAATTCTTAAATATAATTAAATGATTTGTAAAATAAAAAGCTTAAAAAGCATATATTTCCTTTATATATTAGCTTAAAACTGCTTTTAATTATTTAATAATAATTTAATATTTTAACCTTAATTTTAAAAAAATTAAATAATAATTAAATAATTAAATATATAAATTTAATTATATTAATTTAAATCTTTAAAATTTATAATTATATATATTTATTAATAAATTATTTATAAATAATAAAAACCTTAACTTTTAAATTAATTATATTATTATTTTAAGTAATAAAAAATTTATTACTTAAAATAATAAACTTTAAATTATTAAAAATATTATTTATAATATATTTATTAATAAAATTTATAAAATAATTTAAGGTTTTAATATTAATTTTATTATTTATCATTTTATTAACACTATATTAAAACATTTTTTATTTTTAAAAACTTTTTTTATTTTATATATTAATTTTTTTTCTTTTTACTAATACTTAATACAAATAAGTAATATTAATAAAAAGAAATTAATAATTAATTTAATAACCTTAAGGTAATTATATAAAAACTAGGAAATAAATAATATTCATTAAATATATAAAATTTATAATTTAAATTAATAATTAATAAATTTTAAAAATAAATAATTAATTATATAAAAATATTTAATAATTATGTAAAATCACTTAAAATTACTTAAATTATTATTTTTTATAAAGTTATTTTAAAATTTATTTATATTATAAAATATAAAAACCTTATTTTAAGCTTAAATATAATTTTTTTAATTATTAATTTATAATAATAATATTAGTTTATTTAATATATATTATTATAATTAAATATATATAAATAATATTTTTTTATTTTTTTATTATATAAATATATTTAATTTTATTATTACATAAATAATTTATAAATTTTTCTTATTTATATTTATAAAATTTTAAATAAATATTATAAATATTTTTTAATTAAATTATAAAGTTAAAATATTTTTTTATAATATTAAAAAATTTATATTAACATTATAAATATTAAATATAAAAAAGTTTTAATTTTTTATTTAATATTAATTTTTTATTATTTAAAAACTTTATATAAAACTTTTAATGATAATATATTTTATATTAAATAATAAAGTAAAAGCTTTTTAAAAATAAATAATAAATAATTTAAAAAAATAATTAACTATTTAAAAAAGTATTTATAATATCAAAAATACGGGTAATAATAATTATAATATATAAAATTATATTAATTATAATATTAAAATATTTTATATTTATTTAATATTATATAATTTTTTTATTAATTTAATTAAATTTAAACATTTTAATAAAATAAATTTATTTTTATAAAAAAATTACATATATTAAAAAGTTTATAAATTAATTTAAAAAAAAGCTTTTTACTAAAAAAAATAAACCTTTATAAAATGTGATATATATTACTTAATTGCTTGTATGGTGGAAAAAGGTATAAGTGTTAGTTTTTTTTGCCGGTTTTTTAAAAAAGTGAGTTTAAAAGTAATTACTACTAAACTCCCATTACTATTGAAATAGCAATTCTCAACTTATAAGGCTTAAGCTGCTAAAGCTCCGTGACCCCACTATCGCATGCGGAACCGGCCGGTTTATACATACCTGTATGCAGTACTGGTTTATATGCAAGTCGTACAAGATAATTACCTAACCTACCTAGTATTATCCAAAAAGTAATTTAATTAACTGGAGCATCTTCCTTCCTATACCAGAAATTGTCATATCCCATAAAGTCGCGATGCCCTCCGAAATCACCGCCTCAACGGGTGGTCTTACCCCAGACCAACTCGCCGCCTTCTGGCGCGACGGGTATCTCATCATCCCCGATGCCCTACCCCCCACAACCGTCAGAGCCCTCCTAGATGAGACACATCAGCTCCTTGACGAATTCGCGCTGTCTGAACACCCTATGACGCGGTTCAGCACAGGCGAGAAGTCCGCTCATGTTGGCGACGAGTACTTCCTGACGTCAGGTGACAAACTGCGCTTCTTCTTCGAGGAGGACGCTTTCGACGACGCGGGCAACTTAACCAAACCCAAGTCGCGCGCGATTAACAAGATCGGGCACGGATTGCATGCGTTATCGCCACCCTTCGCCGCATTGCTTGATCCGGCGCTGAACCCGGACTTGCTGGGCGCCGGAACGAGTGTGGGCAGTGTAGCAGCGGGCCGCAAGGAGAGCCATCCGGCAGCAATTGCGCGGGCGCTTGGGTTTAAAGACCCGCGATGTTTGCAGAGTATGGTGATCTGCAAACAGCCAGAGATCGGAGGCGCGGTGCCGCCGCACCAGGACAGCACGTTCCTGTACACGGAACCGCCAAGCGCTGTGGGGTTCTGGTACGCTCTTGAAGATGCAACCGTCGAAAACGGGTGCCTTAGTTTCCTACCAGGAAGCCACCGGTGGGCGCCTGTGCGGCAGCGGTTCGTGCGTGCCCAGGGCGGCGGTACAGAATTTGTGGATAATGATGGGACAAGGTTTCCGCCGGGGGAGGAATATGGAGAGAAAGATGGACAGAGCGAAGATGGGGAGTATAAGATGGGCGAGGTAAAGGCTGGTTCGTTAGTGCTGATACATGGAAACTTACTGCACAAGAGCGAGAAGAATTTGAGTCCAAAGGGGCGTATTATTTATACGTTCCATGTCATTGAGAGAGAAGACACGAAATATGACGAGAGAAACTGGCTTCAACCGCCGGCAGATGGCTTCACGCGGCTATACAGAGAATAATCGAGATGAAATTGTACTGCATTGAGTAGATTTCATGAAACGACGGGCTTGCGTTGGTACTGGAGTGTATTAACAAGCCCGCTATCTTGCTCAACTAGCTTCCCGTTGGTGTTGCTTACCGCATTAAAGAGTAAGTAACTCGATAACATATCGTTGGTCAACTCTCCAAAGAAGGTATCAAAGGCGATGGGCTATATCTAACCCATAATCACCAAATAACTCAAGTACCTCATAAATCCGAGCTTTGTGATAATATATCTACTAGAACTAGGGTGGAGCGTTGACCATAGCTTTGGACAATTGATAATCACATCGCATTTCACATTTCTACCTAATGTAGCAAAGCAAACTGCAAGTGCCATTCGCATCGCATTTTCTATTGATTAGAGGTCAAGAAGCCCCCTTAGGTACATACAGTCGAGTTGTCCGCTCGCCACAGGACGAGACAAATAAGAAAAGAAAAAAAAAAAAATTGCAAAGCCAGTAAGCTAAGCCGGAGGGTTCCCTACGTTACCGTGTCGTTGCTCGACCACCGGACAGACCCCTATTTCTCTATCTGCAAAAGCCCAAGGCGGCCAACATTATATCCTCGAGTGGTTGCCGTTGATTTGCGATACCGTAATAAAATGAGTTATGTAATGAGTACAGGCGAAATGACTGATCTGAGTAAGGGTTAAAAGTCATTTGCAAAATTCGCAAGCAATGAAGAAAGAAGGCTGCTTGCAAGAATGTGTGTCGGCAATGAGAATTCATCCTTTCCAATGTGGTGATTTTTTGTTTCGTCAGATTTCATCCACTCGTTAGCTCGTGAAAGCTTGCCTTGGACTTTCTCTTGTTCCTAATCAAGCACCACCGCGACGAATAAGTAGATCGTGGAACATCTCGGTCCTTTCTTAGCGTTGCTAACGGCCATAAGGATGGAAACCCCGGCTGCCGCCTCGTCCTCCGCCGCGATAGTTTGCACCGGGTTTACCAGCATTTTTGGGACCTTTAGGTGCGTCAGCCGGCGGAGCATGGTTGGGATCGGCCGGAGTCGGACTCTGTTGATGTACGCCCCTGTTTCGGTGGAAACCTCCACGGCCACCTTGGTTGAAATTGGGCTGGGGCACGTCGTCATACATACCCTCCCACGAGGTAGGGTCTGCGCCGCCCATATTGTTACCGTAGCCTTGATTATAGCCCCCTCGGCCTCCACGTCGACCCCCGCCGCCGCGAGGCGCAAACATCTGCTGTTGATTACTGAAGTCGTTGAATCCTTGTTGACTTCCGTCACCTTGACCCTGACCTTGGCCAGCACCTCCATTGCCCATCATCTGGTTCTGCATTTGCTGCTGCATCTGCTGCATGAGAGCCGGGTTCATACTGGCCATGGCTGCCATCGGGTTGTTTTGGCCGCTCTGATTGCCACCTTGGGCCATCTGTTGCTGAAGTTGTTGCATCTGCTGCATTTGCATCATCTGCATCATGGCAGGGTTCACAGCCCCCATTCCCATGCCTCGGTTCATGACCATTTGCTGTTGCATCAGAATGTATTGTTGCATGCGCTGCATATATTGGGCCATAACTTGGGGTGTCATGCCTCCTTGACCCATCTGGCTGGCCATCTGGGTCTGCGGGCTACCCTGGTCATCCATACCGCCTTTCCTGAATTTGTTGCGTCTCGTGGCCTCTTCTTCTTCGCGCATGTTGCCTCGGGGTTGTGCCTTTTTGACCTCGATGGGCTTGCCATGGATTTCGAGATGGGTACTGAGACAAGCTTCAACACCTGCCTCACTCTCAAACGTGACGAATCCAAAGCCTCTCGGGCGGCCGGTATCCTTGTCCATCATCAGGGTAGCGTCAACAACTCGGCCGAACTGGGCAAAATAGTCCTTGAATTCCGGCTCGGTGGTTTCCTGGCTGACACCACCAACAAAGATCTTGCTGGTCTTCTCCTGTTCATCTCGGGGGATAGCTCGTTTCGGATCAATCTAGATTTCTAATTAGTATTCACATGTCGAAAACAAAATTTCTCCCTTTGAAATTAGTGAGTCTTACAATCTTCCCATCTAAGAAGTGCTCTTTGACCATAACAATGTTCACAGTCTTAGGATCCTTGAAGGTCAGGAATCCGAACCCTCGCGATCGGCCCGTAGCACCATCTCTCATCACTGTACATTCTGTCACCTCGCCGAACTGGGAGAAATAATCGCGAAGTGATTCTAGTAGTAACGTCAGCATCATAGGTCGAAAAGAGGCAAGTTCGTGGATGACTTACGGTCAGTTGTTTCCCAATTCAGACCACCGATAAACATCTTCCTAAAGAAACAGAGTAGTTAGTACTGATTACACCGAGAATAATTACGAAATATGAAAGTGCATTCGCCCGAATGCCGAAAACAAGTCAGTATATGCTAGCTTTGAGCGAACGTAATTGCCGCTTGGCAAACATACTGAGCTTCTATTCGGCTTGCCATGAGTCTTGATAGCCGAGCCTTTAACTTTTGGTTGGGTTGGTTTATATATTTAGTTGCCTGGTCGGAAATTTGGGCGATAGGTGCATCTTTGTCTAAAAGCTGGCCACTAGCTTCAGGCTCTTGGTAATCAGAGTTGAATGGGATGTAGTCCTCCTCTTTAGCCTTAGAAGTGTCCATAGTGGCTGGCTGGTGTGGTATACATCAAGTCTGGGGGAGTTCAGATGAAGTAATGAATGATGCATGGGCCAGTGGTGGAATCTCTGATAATCTCTGATAACCTGAGAAGCAAGTCCTAGATAGCACTGCTTGACAGAAAGTAGAACAAGGCAGGTGATGTCTGAAATGTCGAATATTTTGTTCTCGTCTCTTTGCTATCGTCAAGCTAGGACATAACTTCGAGCGCTATTCGCTGCCAATTCTCTTGTTACAGCCTTCCAGAGCAAAATGTCCCTCTTTGAAGCTTTATGAGCCTATTCCTGACGAGTGGCTACGGAAGGCAGTAAGTGTTTTCTGTACTGACTATGGTCGAACTTTTTATCGCTGGCTTTTCTCTTTAAAAAGGTAGCGTGATTCCTCCTTAGGATTCCTCCTTATGTCTTCAGCCACTACTTCTTTCCCGCGATGCACCTCTTGAAATCCGGGCGACTGGCGTGTTTCCCTCTGGCTATTTATCTGAATATTGCCCGACTTGGCAAGTCCATTACTAGATTTTCCCTTCGGAGACAGCTAGCGAGATAGAAACCAGTTCTCTTGCCCACCAACGCCCCCCTCCCCTTGGCTAAAAAGCGCCGGGATACTTAAACACATATCCTTTTGATTGTCAAGTGTCAAATAGGGAGTGATTTCTCCCAAATTAACCGTTCAAAGCAACACAACATGCTTTATACGTTGCTCTGATTTGGGTTTCAGACATGGGCGAAAGGCAATAAGACTCGTTTAGAGCCACGCGACTAACAGAAATAAACAAATCTAGACAAATCTACTTACCCATCCTCCTTAGCACTGGCACCTCTGGCAGTATGGTATGCGGAAGCCGAGTCATCTTGTTGAGGCTGCGCAGCAGTGACGGCACCACTCGGGCCGTTGCCTAAGTTGAAATCCACATCATCGTCATCCTCGTAGTTCTCGTCTTGATATTCTTCGCCATAGCCGTTCTCTTCGGTTGTATAAGCCACTTCGTTATGCGTCTGATCCATCTCGTACTGGCTAGGTGTCTCTATGGACTGCTGAGGGTTGGAAGGAGTGGGAGTGGGAACTGGAGCGGTAGAAACTTGTGCTGCCGGAGCTGCCGCAGCGGCTGTTGTAGCCGTGGCAGCGGTAGCGGCAGCGGACGGCGGCGCGGCGGCAGCATCGTTATCGTCGTACCTGAGAAGAATCAGCACGTCTGTTACACGTGTATATCGGTTGATAGAAGGGTGCCAAATATAGCATGATTTTAGCACGGCAACATAGGTTCACCATACAGATCAGCGAAGAGGTCATCCTCAAAGTTTTCCGTTTCGGCCATTTTGGAAAGCTTTGTTGACTTAAGTTTCTAGACGCGATTGCAAAAATCTCAGAAGTCGCGAAGCGGTGGTAAATCAACTTGGATTCGATCGACCTAAACGATGGAACCAGAAGATTAGGAATGCGAATCTAGCTCAATCGATCGGCCATATAGTCCCCCTTAATAATAAAAAGGAGAAGAAAGAAGAAGTATTATTATGTAGCTTGGTTAGAAAACAAAGTCAGTGTCAAGGAAGGGTAAGTGGAAGAATTGTGAGGAGTTGTCGACGGGAAAGAATTGCAGCCTCCTAGTTAGAAATGAATGAATGTCCACCGTGAGAAGGGTCTTTGGGGGCCAATGGGAGACGCGAAACAGGCGGCAGGCAAACTCCAATTTTAAGTTAGCGTTCCACTGGGGTGTCAGGGTTGTTCGATAATGATGCACAGACCATCCCATGGTACCTTGTACCTGTACATAGTACATACTAGGTAGTACCTATGTCTTACCTTTAGTAAGTATTGATGCTACTATGTAGAGCTGGAGCTGTGGCTTCCCAGCTGGCAACATTATCTGGCAACCGGGCATTATCGAGGGGCATTATTGTTTAGGTACGTTAGGTAGGTAGGTACCTACATTATGCTTGCCTCAACATGTACGTTTACATACCTGCCTACCTACTACCTACCTAGTATACCTATGTCTTTATGATAGCGCACCTCTTATTTCCTCAAAATCTCAACAAGGTGAACTACACCAACCTGTAACAACAATGCGGCTGTGATCTTTTCGTAGAACAATCTCCTTTACCATGTTTTCGTCCTCGGGAAGCGGCAAGAAGCCGCCGTCCCAACAGGTAAGCTCTCCGAGGTCAACAACACTTGGAGAAACGCTGGTTTTAATTGACAATGACGTAGGAAATGATTCAAGTCGGTGAGTGCTGCAGCTTTGATATTGCTAGATACTGTCTCAATGCGCTCGCATAGCGCTCGCATTAACCTGAAAGAGACCAATTTACTGACTTGTGTCTCTCTACTTGACAGACAGGTCAGAGTAGGTTACACGTCGCCTTCTTTTGTTGCCGAATTGTTGCCTCGCCGGGTATTTGCTAAGCTCCAACCAGGTCGGCTTCGCCATTCTGGCGTGTCCAGAGAGAAGGTGCCGCGAAGAAGACAGGACGGGATCCTAATCTAGTTGTAGGAGCTTCTTACTCCCACGCCGACATGCTCAAGTTCGATAATTTGTACGTTCCCGGGGTTTCTCTCTTTGTGCGGCCTTCCGCTAACACCTACCGCTCTATATCAGAAACCTCTCTGGCTCTTCATCCCGGCCGAGATCACCCCCAACCTCCTCGTCGCAGAGAACTCGAGCAAGTGACGTAACTTCGCCGCCGCCGAAGTCTTCATCCGGCCTATCATCGCCTCCGTTGAAGTCTTATTTTCATTTCTTGTCGAATACGAATCAGGATTGGGATGTTGGAGACCCCGAAGTACCAAACGGAGAAGATATGCTGGGATATGAAGATGACGATGGGGATGACTTTGGTCTTCCAAGCTTGTCGAGCATGCAGCGACGCAGCCGACGAGCGGCAGCAGCTCAGACCAGCAGCTCTTCACAAATTCAATCAGCACCTTTAGAAAGGGCAGCCAACCTTCCCCATAGGCGTTATTCAAATAGTGCCGACATAGCTATAGAGCGGCCAACACCGACGTACCCAATGCCTAAGAAGAGCGAAGGGAAGATTCTTAGACCACAATACAAGGATATACTGAAAGGTAACCTCCACTCGCTCCTTTTAGCATCGTTCCGATGGCTAAGATTACCTAGATCCGGCCAATGCTCTACATCTTATCGATCACCCCACAGCCCCAGCCAATGCGACGCCGAAGGAAATCGACGCCATTAATTCCCGTATAACGAAGATCAACAAGTTCAAAAAAATCCTTCAAGCTAGTACTATACCATTAATAGATCTTCGGGCTTTAGCATGGAGTGGTGTACCCGAAGAAGTCCGGGCTATGACATGGCAACTCCTGCTAAGTTATTTGCCGACTAGCAGTGAACGACGTGTTGCGACGCTGGAACGGAAGCGTAAAGAATATCTCGACGGAGTACGTCAGGCTTTCGAACGAGGAGGCAACCATCCTGCTTCCGGCGGTCGATCTAGGGGTCTTGATGAAGCAATATGGCATCAAATTAGCATTGATGTTCCTAGGACAAACCCCCATATTGAACTTTACAGCTACGAGGCGACGCAGCGATCCCTAGAACGGATACTATATGTTTGGGCAATTCGGCATCCCGCAAGCGGCTACGTGCAGGGAATTAACGATCTAGTGACTCCTTTCTGGCAAGTTTTTCTGGGCGCTTACATCACGGATTGTAATATCGAAAGTGGCATGGACCCAGGTCAATTGCCCAAGGCTGTGCTCGATGCGGTGGAAGCCGACTCTTTTTGGTGTTTAACAAAGTTGCTCGACGGAATCCAGGATCATTACATCGTCGCCCAGCCTGGTATTCAACGGCAAGTTGCTGCGCTTCGGGATCTTACCGCTAGGATCGATGAAGGACTGGCAAAGCACCTTGAAAATGAGAATGTCGAGTTTATTCAGTTTAGTTTCCGCTGGATGAATTGTCTTCTGATGAGGGAAATAAGCGTACGAAATACCATTCGGATGTGGGATACATATCTAGTATGTCTTCGCGTCCTAATTAAACAAGGACTTACTAACTACTTACATTTAGGCCGAAGAACAAGGCTTTTCAGAATTCCATTTATATGTCTGCGCAGCCTTCCTAGTTAAATGGTCTTCCAAACTGGTCAAAATGGATTTCCAGGAAATCATGATGTTTCTACAGGCATTGCCTACCCGGGACTGGACCGAGAAAGATATAGAACTCTTGCTCAGCGAAGCCTATATCTGGCAAAGCCTTTTCAAGAATTCTTCTGCTCATTTGCGAGGAGGTCCCAGTCGAGCTCCGACCAACCTACAATTATAGTAGAACATGCATTGCTGTGCACGATAACACGCATTGGTGCTCCAACTGGGCATGTTATTGTCGGCCCCTTCAAGGCTCAAGAGAAATGCGCCCTGCCTCTCAATAATCAAGGCTTGATTAAGCCCGGAGTTGAAAGATACGTACTAGCTGAAAATTAGACTCGGCTGGTAGAAGCACATACGAGTTAGAATATCCCATAACAGAGTCATAGCTTCCAGGGAATGAAACAAAGCTTGCTTGAAACACTTGGAGTTATCAGATTCCCAACGTTTGAATCAAAAGCGAGTCTGCGGTTGTCGAGTGTTGAAGCGCTCTATTGGGGTTCCTGGTCCTTGACTTCTTCCCTTTGAAGCGAGATCGTTTGTGCTTTCGGGTTCTACGATCATGATGACAGGTGACTATAGATGCTTATCACGATGTTAGATCAAAGCTACGAGAAACCAATGAATTAGCCGACCATATATGTACTTAATATGAGAAGGCATCTTGAATCAACAAAATATGACCCCGATAAGAGCCCGCATAGGTCAAACACCCCTTTCTGGGCTGGTAATAAGTTCCAATGGCTTGAGGGGTTTGTTTGGTCGAATAGGTTGGCGATAAAGTATACGACAAAATTCAGGTCAATAGAATATTGTTAATATTCTCTGATAATTCTAGGTGGTGCTAATCCGGACTATGGTTTCGAGAAAGGAGGAAGACGGGAATGGCTGACTAGGTGCCTGATATTACCGACGCAGTTGGCCTCATGCTATCAATGCTTCTACAGCCCCGTACGGTCTTGTCGCCACGCCTTCGATCCTAACATGGTCAAGCACCTCCCTCTTCGACGTCATCGGCAGCGCCGCAACCCACCTCCGAAAGCCTTCGAGGAAAGCATCCGCTGTGGCCCGGTCCGACGGGTCGACTGGATCTTGGTTAAGGCTTATCTGACGCATGTGAGCGCCGGCTAGCGAGGCGCCATGCGCCCAGGAGTTCTGCTCGCCAATTACGTTCGTGTCGCCAACCAACGGCTTAATGCACCCCTTACACCCGTGTACCAGCACGTCCCGCGGCAGCCTTGGCTCTGTCGTGCTCGGCCGCCCCAACCCGACTCCGTCCAACCCGCTTGCCAGCGCGTCAACCATAGCCCCTACGGTTCGGACCCCTCCTGTTATAAAGCACCGCGTGCGCCTAACGTGCGGTACGATGAGCTCCGCGAACTCGATGAAAAAAGCTTCTCGTCGCCGCGTGCTTTCCTTCTTGTGATGCCACGCCGGCGCCTCGTACGTGCCCCCGCTAAGTTCGATTAGATCGAACCCGTGCGTTTCGAGGAGCCGCACTAGCGCCGTGGCTTCGAGCTGCGCGAACCCGGAATCCTGGAACTCGACGCTGTTGATCTTGATGCCGAGTAGGAAGGCAGGGCTCGTGGCGTCGCGGATCCCGTCCGCGATCTCGGTGATCAGACGCGCGCGGTTCTCAAGAGCGCCACCATATACGTCCGTGCGCAGGTTTGTAGTCGGCGAAAGGAATTGCGCAAACAAGTACCCGTGCGCGGCGTGCAGCTGTATACCCGAGAATCCCGCGCGCTCGAGGTATACGGCTGCGTGGATGAAAGACGCTTTTATGTCGCGTATCTCGTCCGCCGACGCTGCGTGGGGCTTGCCGTAGCGGAACATGGCGCCGTACCCTTTTGTTAGTTGTACGTCTGATGCTGACACGGGGTTGAGCTGATGTTCTTCCGCGGTCTGGCGTCCTGGGTGGTTGAGTTGGCCTAGGAACACGGCGCCGCCGCGTCTGCCGGCCTCGGCAAGTTTTTTATAGGCTTCGAAGCGTGGACCGGAAAAGGGGTTATCGGGTGTGATGATCATGTTCCCTGGAGCTTCGAGGTGCGTCGTGTCAACGATTATGTTACCCGTTACGATGGTACCCCAGCCGCCGTCGCTCCAATGTCCGTAGAGGTTGCATAGTCGCACCGTGGGGATGCCACTTGCGCTCATGTCGTCTGGGTCCCAGGTCGCCATGCGCTCGGTCATGGCAACTTTCATGAAGCGGTTGGGGGCGACCGCGGTGGAGAAAGGGAATACGAGGGGCACGCCCAAGGGTGCTGGGTCGACGTCTCGGCCTGGGTAGCGGGTCGGCATCATGATATACTTAGCTCACGGGTTTTAAGATTTTGAATGCGTCTGCTTAAGATGTAAAGTAAATTTGTTGTAGACGACAGTTATTACGATAGTAGAATAGGAGCATCGTGTTGTCGTTACAGTTGAATCGCTTGGGGCCAAGTGTCCCTTATTCCGTGAACCCGGAACTGCCTGAATGCACTCCCGGACTCCCTTTCGGCAATATGTATTCTTGGGCGCGACTCTGCATTTTGCGGGGAGGAAATCTAGGTACTTACTTACCTGGTATATTATTGAATGACGTTCAGCTTTGGGAGTACATGCTTCCTTATTACTTACCTAGGTACTATTTTATTAAACTACCTACCTATTATACTGGTTTGAGAGGAGTGTGATATATGCCAAGTTATATTACAAGTACCTTAGGTAGGTATATAATGGTCTTAGATATGATAAATATATCATAATTGGAATAAAGCTAGCTATAGTTCAACACCAATCTTTTTAATATAATTGGAACAGCAGTATATCATGTAAAGTCTACACTACGTCAACTATAAGCCTGGGATTCCAATTAGTATAGATAGGTACTATACCAAAGGCGCACATATATGGATAAATAGTATCCAATAGAAAGTGAGGCAACGTGAACTTGCTTCACGAACAGCTTCCTTTTACGGAATGGGTAGTGATCGTGATTGGCCTCCTCGTTGCTACTGTAGTATACTTATAGATAATGACTCGTTTCCTTCGGACCCGTCGTAGACAGACTAGGATATTCAAAAGGCCGGTCTCTTTTTATGTAGCTATTTTATAGTTGCTTCTGCTTGCCGAATTCGAAGGCTATAAACATCAGAGTCACCTTTGATGTGGAGAATCGGCTCTACATAGTAGTCTTCTAACTTAACTTAGGAATTCCGTCAAGGCCGAAGGGCGGAGAAGGTAAATACGCGGGAGCTACTTGATAACAACGGATCATGAGATACTATGAGGCGAGTCCGATCCGAAGCATGGCAACGCTAAAGGCTACATGCGTGATGTGATGCTTGAAGTGTTCGAAATCAAGGAGTCTTGTAAGCTAAGGTCTTAGGTCTTAGTCATGCGTACGTTCTTCGAGAGGGGTTTATGGCTTAGATACTATTTTAGAATGGCTATTATCTCTGTGGTAGTTGATGTGTATATAGGCGGTAGGTGTATGTGTGTATATGTGTATGATGTATGTAAGAGATGTGACTTGGCATACGCTATTAGATGTAGGTAGATATCTACCTAACCTAAGGTAAATCATCTTTTCTCCAATGATAAGATAGGAATTTATAAATCTCGCCAAGATCTCCCTCCCCCCCTTTTTCCCACTGAAACCGCCGAGGGAAGGTGGCGGTCAGCTAAGGCAATGGACGGCAATTCGCGGCTTTCCCGAAGCCGCTAAACTTTTTTGTTCAACTTTCCGCAGGTCGAAGAGCGGCACAAATTCCACACTAAACTTTTATCTCCGTCTTTTTCCAACTTGACTTCTTTTTTTCCTTTTTTCCCTGCCCGTCTGCCCGCCTAGTTTCCACCATACGGCGTTAACTTGAATCATAGAACTTGGCTAAGCTTTAAGGGTCGAAATGCTTGTCTATCGCAGTCATTGCGATCTCGGATTGTTATTTAGCCCCTGTCTCTTGACTCAACGAGTCGTTCATGAAATTGCATAGGTATGAATAATATTCGTAGTGTCCGAGGAACGGAAGCTAGTACATCCCATCTCGAGCTTGTTCGCCGTCATCTCGACATAGGCAATACTACTCTAGCCGTTTCTTAGTCCCGTTGATAGGCTGTTAGCCGTCGACAAGCTTCCACCCGCTTGTTCGCGCCAAATCAACGGGCGTCATTCTGTTCTCCACTTCCCACATGATTTTCAGCCTCCGTGTACAGCCGAAGCCTCTCTTCGAATTTGCAATTTTGGTCCACACCGAAAATGGGTACTAGTACCGACAGCTGCTTCTAGAATGGCGGAAATGGGGTGGGTGTTGCTTTGTTGTCCGTTGTAGTGTGATAACCCGTGAAGTACGCCCACCTGACGTTATGATATGGAGATAGCAGATACCCGGGGGTCGTCCATACCTTATAGTAGATCGTCCACGGTAGTCCCAAGCTGGTGGGAACTAAACCTACCTCGTTTCCCCTGTGGGTAAGTAGCATCTAGAAGCATACTTACCTTAGGTACCTAAGGTACTCATTTAGCTCTTTCGGCCAGGTTAGTAGGTCGGCCCAGCTAATTCGATGGGGAAATGCAGAGTTTTGCATCTTCTTTATCCAATTGGGATATCAGAATAGTTTTGGTCCGATTTCCAGGAGCGCAATGACAGGGACCACGGCACAACGCGCCCTTCCCATGGCCCATGCAGCTTGTCAGTGAGCCGGACTTATACACACACTACACTACAAGCTTGACACGATGCAGAATGTACAGGCATACAGGTATACAGGTATACAGCCACAGGATCCTCTTTCTTTAGTAAGAAAGTGGACAAGTTAATCTCCCCATTGGCTTATTGAGTCATCGACCTTCTTGTAAATGGTACAGAGAGACGTTGTCTGAAACAAGCCTATATTATTTATACTTTCCCTTTATCTACCTTCTGCTTGTGTGTCTGTCTGTTTTTTTCCCTCGTTAAAAAAATATTGACATTCAAGGGCAATACTCATTCTATCTTAGCGCTGCTTCATCTGCTACGTCCTCGATTCTATTTTGCATCATACCTACCTAACCTTATCTATACCTAGAATGGCCCCCTCCGCCGTTGTTCAGTCTACCGTCCACAATGGCGAGCAAGACGTAAACCTGACTGCTTCTGCTATCGACCACCGGTTAACCGAAAATGGCCAGTCTAACGGAAGCGCCAACGGCCAAAACGCCCCCTCGTCGAATGGACGAGATAATGGTGTAGCTCAACCGAACGTTCGGGAATTAAATGCTTCAAACATCACCTACACATTCACCAAAGAGCCCCGTGATGTTCCCGCTCCGGGCGTCCACTCTATCGACGGCGCAACCATCAGCACTGACCATATGATTACCGTAGCATGGTCAGCAAAGTCCGGTTGGGGAACACCCGAGCTGAAGCCTTACGGACCTCTCACTCTCATGCCCACGGCTTCCGTTCTTCACTATGCAACCGAGTGCTTCGAAGGCCTTAAGGCCTACCGTGGCTTTGATGGGAAGTTGCGTCTGTTCCGACCTGACTGCAATGCTGAGCGATTTCTCATGTCTTCGGTACGCATCAGCTTACCATCTTTCCCTCCTGCTGAGGTAGAAAAATTGCTCTTAGCTTTGATGGCTGTAGACGGACCCAAATGGCTGCCTCGTGACCGCCCTGGAAGTTTCATCTACCTACGTCCGACCCTCATCGGAACCCAGTCTCAGCTGGGTGTGCAAGCACCTTCGGAAGCCCTTCTCTACATCATCGCTACTTTTATGCCTGTCATGGACTCCCCGGCGGATGGCATGAAGCTTCACACGTCGCCAGACGACATGGTACGCGCCTGGGTTGGTGGATTCGGGTACGCCAAAGTTGGTGCAAACTACGGTCCTTCTCTCCTGGCCACGCAAGAAGCCCGCGCGAGAGGGTACGGTCAGATCCTATGGCTATATGGTAGCGAAGGCTATTGCACAGAAGCCGGAGCAAGCAACTTCTTTGTTTTGTGGAAAACTAAGGAGGGGAAGACTCAGCTCATTACGGCGCCACTAGACGATAGACTGATCCTGCATGGTGTTACCAGGCGCAGCGTGCTGCAACTTGCTCGTGAGAGGTTAAGCGACGAGATTGAAGTTGTAGAAAGGAGGTATACCATCAATGAGGTATTAGAGGCTAGCTCGGAAGGCAGGCTACTCGAATCCTTTGCTGCTGGTACAGCGGTAAGTTTTCTTTTTCATGATGATTTCGAAGGGATGCAGTGTACAAAATGAGTATGCCATGCTAACACTTGATCACAGTTCTTTGTCTGCCCTGTATCACTCATACACCATCGTGGGCAAGACATCCAGATCCCTATGGGCAAGACAGGCGAGGGTGGCCCATGCACACTCAAGTTAAAGAGCTGGCTTAAGGATATCATGTACGGGAACGTAGACCACCCGTGGGGCATCGTCGTGCAGGAGGAAAATTAGATGGCCTAAAAATCCCCGACGTGCAGGTGTGGCTATGCAAATTCGCATGCAATCTACCCCTCACGCCCCGGACGCCTCGGGTCCCCAGGCTTTCACAAACGGACGAATAGGTGTTACCGTCAGGTAGCAGTGTCCTGATATCGTTTTCTACCCGCATGATGTTTATTGACCGAAGAAGAAGGGGATAGCAACCGTGTCAACGAACGTACCGATAGAACGGATGTGGGAAATCCAACCTCCTATTATCTCTAAAGATCATCTTGCTTGTCTTAATTACACAAATCCAGGCTGGAACATCATCGCCGAGAAGCCTTTTCCATATTAAAAGAGGGATAGATGCATAAGCGGCGTTGCGTTTCGTCTTTTTCGTCTTATGATTTTCTTACCTATGGCTCTTCGGCTGGACGAGCTAGCTGGCTACCTAGGTTAGGTAGCCATCATGTTACGGCATCACGGCGCATGGAAGCATTTTCGAGCATATTCCGCATTTTTCAGTATTATCCTTTTCATTTTATTTTTTTTACATGGCATCTATTTTTTCTCACGACGGTTACTTCGCGTTGAACTAGAGTTTTCTCTCGTTGCACAGGTATCGCATCAAGTCCGGTTCATGGTATGTTTCTTCGGCTGCTTTGCTTAAAATCATCAGCGTTCATCTTCGGACGCGGCGTGAAGATGGTACAGCGAATCGTGTGTGGTTGGCTTGGAATAGGAACAGGGGTAGATTACACGGGACTTGCTAAAAGAGCTGGGGTAGAAATGTGCTGTGTTGATAACGGGTCTGAATGCATATTTATTTCAAAATAAGAAGAAGTGATTGAGTACCTAAGACATGCATTTTAAACGGCGATCTATATACTAGCTGAATTCCCTTACATCGTTGTTCCCGGCAAATGGTGACTTAGCTCTGGTGAGTTCATTCACCCATCATAAGAAATAAGTTTCATCGTAACTTCACCAAGCTTATTCTGTAGGTCACGATGCGCCGCATCACACCTGGACGCGCCATACGAGCCTTCCAGCGAGTCCTCCGCCGCAGCGTCAATGTCCGTCGCGCATGTCGGTCGCGTTTCACTAGACCCTCTGCAAGTAGCAGTAGCAACGTATCTCGCTCGGCGACATTAGCTGTTCAGGAACGAATGCAGGATGTTCCCGGCCTCCTTCTCAATCTTCTTAAGAAACTCCTGGAGCTGAATCAGTACATCGCTCCCGTATACGATCTACGGGATATAAGGCCCGTGGGACTTACCTCCTCGTACGTCATCATCTCCTCCACGACGTCCTTGCTAGCTCTATCGAGATCTGTACCGAATCCGGCCAGGGCCTCAGCGTGGGCCTCAGCGTGGGAAGCAGACGCGGAGGGCGATATCCCGCTTACTATGCTGGCTCCAACGAGGCGAATTTCGCCTGCAGCGCGGTCAGATCCCTTTCGCGATAGCGTCTCCTCGCCGAGGTCATCGATCTCGACCTGGACTTCCGCCTAGGACGCCCAGAAATCGTTAAGCTCGGTAACGGCGGCGTTGAGTTTTTCTTCGAAGGAGGATATGGCATGGCGGATGGCTACTGCGGCGGTACGCTCGCAGCCATCTTCACCGGTGGCAGTATAGTCAACTGTAAGGTCCTGGAGTGGTGAGATAAGTTTATTGAGCTGAGTTTCTAGAGCGGCCATTTGTTGCCTGTTGGCGTGGATCTTAGCTTCGCTTTGCGCTATAAGTTCTGCTTCGGCCTCTTCGAGACCAGCTATAGCGGCGCTGTGGATTGTTGCGCGGAGATTGGCGTAGCGCTCTGGGCGGTGGGCTGTTAGTTAGCTTGCGTTGGGTCAAGTGGCATGCATGGTATATGGATTTTCAACCCTACCTACCTACCTAGGTAGGTAGGCACTTGATGATAGAGTAGTTTGGCTGGAAATATCTAAGAGGACTTACCGCCCAGTTCCAATGCCAGAGGTGGATCAGGGTCGGGAGATGGGCTAAGACGTTGTCGTCGATTGTGAATATGGCTTGGTGTCTTGTCGTTTTCTTCCGACCTCGGTCTCCTGTATCTGTCAAAAAGCGGAGCAACCGAATAATGAGTTTTTCTATGCTTCTTAGGGGATGGTGGGCGAGTATCTTCATCTTCATCTTCATCCTCTTCCTCATCCAGGAATAGGCGATGCTTTAAAGATTTCCGGGGGACGGAAGAATTAGTCTTTACAGGAGTTGGAAATATGTTTGAGCGCAGACGTGCAGACATGATGATGCCTGTGGGCAGGTTTAAGGGATGTGAACCAAATGAGAGAGATTTTAAAAAAAGAAATCGCAGATGGATGATATATTGACCTGGACTGTGGGGGATGAACTATGTTGACTAATGTCAACTTGATGAGACTTGGGACCTTGGATGTTGTGGATGTCGTGGATATTGTGAATGTAAAATACCAAGTCCATCCACCTACATTTGCCTATGTACCTAGGTACCTAGGTAGGTTAGGTGCCTACTTGGAAGTTACGAATGAGTGGAAGCTACTGCCCGCCGTTGTTGCGAAGTACTACCTAGGTATTCACGTCATATCACCTTTGCCCTTTCCATCTTTTACGGTATCACCTTCTACATACCTAGTGCCAGGTGTTAGATTATCACATAATAGAGAGGTACCTTATGTAATTATCTACCTACCTACCTGTACCCAGGTAGGCACGTTATAGGCAAATATATGTAGCTTGCCTTCCCCCCCTCCCCCTTTTCTTTTCTTTTCTTTTCTTTCATTCTTTTGCCGCGTTGGCATCATACAAGTTCGTTCGAGAGTCACGGCTCATAACTCCCACTCAACATCCAACACCACTGCCGATGTCTCGCTGCTCATCTATGATGCTCTAATCAGTACAGGCACCATTGCGCCAGCTGACACCCAAACATCAGGGTGACCAATAACATGATATAGAGCCCTGAGGAAGCCGGAATGTGCTGTGAATGAGAGGATCGAATTATCATCTTGCTGGAAGATTTCTTGTAGAAGCATCTTCACTCGGTCAGCAATCTCTCCTTCCGACTCTCGAACGTCCTTTTCCCATAGCTCATCTGTTTCTGTAAGCGTTGATTCGATTCGGAAGCCGGGAAAGTTCGCCGCAATCCAGCTCCTTGAACTGCGACGATCACAAGTGTGCTTCCCGTAACGCTCTCGCAGATTCTCCTTGATGATCGGTCTAAAAGGATGATCGGCTGGTACATCGAGGCCCGAGTATGTGATACTGGTGGTTTCGAGGCAACGTGTAAGAGGACTTGTATAGTATCTCTGTGGTGTCGGCATTCCTGCCGTGATCGCGTTGCGCCAGAAGTCGTTCAGCGCCTGTGCTTGCTGTTTCCCCTTTTCTGCCAGATGAGAATCGGCCCAAACAGTATTTCCATCACCATCGAGGTGCGACCAGTACGACTATATTTTTCAATACATGCGTTAGCGCGGGTCAGAGCTATAAAGATGAAAGGAGGAAATTCCCACCTCCCACTGCTGTCGTCCTACTTCAGCCTCCTTGAGATTATGGTAGCCTTGACCATGTCTGATAAGGAAAATCAGCTTATACTGGACGCCGTCGTTTGCATTCTTGTTTGAGGACTCTAGGTAGTGGACGAATCGCTCCCATTGGCTCTTCTCCCCCTTTGGGTCAAAGACTGCGTCTGTCCCATAAACGCGATTGATAAGTCCCATATTTGGCAGTGTTTTCTGCATGTCCGTTAGTTCACGATTGCTTCTTACACACCGTAGGGATGTCAGGCAATTTGACCTACTGCTCTGAATGATGGCCCGGTGGGCTCGTCGTGGTGATGGAAAAACCCGGGCACAACCCGGAACGAATTTAGCTGCATCTCCATAGTATGCTAGACGTTTATGTTAATAGTTATAAGTTGATCTTGACAGATTTATTTTGGGAAAAGATGATGCTGGATAGGGGAAAGGAGAGAATATATATAGGCAAGTAGTCCTTCAGCCTGAACTTATAATTGCGTTAAATGATTAATGCGCTGTATAATTTGCTCAAGATATCTGCTTCCGAAAATTGATACAAGTAAGTGACTGACTTAATAAATGTCATCTGTACTTATAGATATAAACGCTCTCCCGTAGGACTCACGGGTGTAGGCTTGTGCGCCACCACAATAAAGGGCTAAAGTCACACAATGGCCACAGCCTCTAAAGGAATACCGCTTTGTTTTTCCCGAGTCAATCTTTCTCCGAGCGGCAACTCGCCTCGTCGAACAGTCATTATCTTGAGAACAATGGCATTCACCAACTACTGACATGTGGTGTCTCGGTAACCAATCAAAGGTAGGAAAGAGATGGAAACGACTTACTAACAGGAACAAAGGGCTAAGACACACTCATTCCAACACTGAATCAGAGAATACATTAGAGCAGTTTTCGTATTCGATTATCCCGCTTCATATTCACCACCGTAGCTTTACGTCAAGCGTCGAGGAACCTAGTCCGGCAATCCCTGAAACCATTCGACTGCTCAGGATACTACCACGCAGAGTGAATGGTTTACTTGCGTGATGCATTCGTTCTGTCGACTTAGGTGCCGACCCAACTCCAAAGTACGATGCTATCTCGTACACCTGGCAACAAGACGAAGTCAATGGCGGAAGCAAAAATAAACAGGGAGAAATAGTCTGTAACGATGCGCGTCTCTTAGTGGGAGTAAACCTGTTCAATTGCCTCGAACAGCTGGAGAAGAATGGCCGACACTACGACCAGGACCTTTGGGTTGATGCAATATGCATTAATCAAGGCGACGAAGCCGAGAGAAACCAGCAGGTCAGCATTATGGCTGATATTTATAAGTTAGCTGAGCGCGTGGTTGTGTGGCTTGGCGCTGCTGACGAGTTCACACCGAAAGCGTCGGAGCTGATAGAAAGTTTGAGTCGATTAAAGGGTGATGAAATTATCACCATCACTCCTCAAGCATTCGACGACGCACACAACAAACGCTTGCTGGGATGCTCAAATTCGCCAGAACACTGGAAAGCACTGGCCCTACTATTTGGGAGGAGATGGTTTACACGGGCATGGGTCGTTCAGGAGCTCATTTTAGCTCGTAAAATAACTATCTTGTGCGGTGATCATACCTTCGACTGGGACAAGATGGTTCGCGTCTCGGATTTCCTGGCAAAACGAACTTCGGCCAACACGTTTAGAGAACATCTATTTGATAACATCGACCGCCACTTTCTTTCGTATAAAAATCCTACCAAATTGGATGCGATCAAGAGGGATCGTTGTGGCCAAGCCAGCAATGCTTTCCTCTACACGTTGGTTCGATGTCGTACCTACGATGCTCGGGAGAAGCACGACAAAGTATATTCGTTCCTTGGCTTTTTAAATCACTAAAGTCCTGATCATCCCGAGTTGTATCCAAACTACCATGGAACTGTTGCAAAGTTGTATACGGATGTCGCCAAGTATATCCTAGAGGCCTCGGAGGACCTGCACGTCCTTGCACACGCCGAAGGCGATTATTTCAGGGAAACCGAAGGCCTACCCACATGGGTGCCCGATTGGAGTGTAAGGAAAGACCTTGGTCTCAGAATCACTGGATATACTAGATATAATGCCGCCGGCACCCTACCATGTTTCTACAAGATCCAAGACGGAGATAGGCTAGGACTACGCGGATTTGAATTAGATATAATTACTCGAGTAGGAGAGACAAAAGAGGAGGTCAATCGTACTAAGAACTGCAAGGATTGGTTGGATCTGCGCGATGAGCTTCAACGGGAGTATCCCGCTGCAGACTACAAGGACGCCTTTTGGCGTACACTTCTTATCGACACAGATCCGTCCAGGACAGTACCGATCAAACAACCATGGGAGAATGCCTTCAATATATGGATGGGCCTTTGTGATTACGAGCCATCCAAGACTGGCAAGCAAAAGGCTGCCGAGTATGAGACCTCATTCACGCATTCCTTGAATCTGCGCCTGTTTAGAACAGCCCAGGGGCATCTGGGCTGCGGAACTTCGTCTTGTAAAAAAGGTGATCTGGTATGGATCGTTCAGGGCTCAAGGGTACCATTAATTCTTCGACTGGTGCCGCAGGCGAAAACTTATGAGCTTGTTGGCGGAACATACCTTCACTGGTTTATGCAAGGGGAGGCATTGGATGAGCGGGAACTTCAGGGATTTACTTTGGTTTAGTGTATTATAGTCATATGGTTCTTAACGTTTGCTAACGATATGACGAGCGATGCGTGGATGTACGATATTAAGATAAAAGGTGCCTAGGGGTATAGATGGAGGGCTGGAGGGCTTTGAGATGGAGCATTTGGAAGGACGCCAACAGTCTGCACGGTTACATTAGGTAATGCCATTTCTTCAGCAAACAGTGAGCATGCTCGAATTTGACTTACTTTTGATCTTTGTTGAACTATATCAAGAATTGGGTAGGATGTGATGTGATAGTTATTTCTCGGGGATGAATCAATTGCGTGTACTAGGAAGCGCATGCTGGCAGAGTACGGGTGTTTCCTTACAAGCTGAGCTATAAGCACTTATATTTATCGTTAGGCTTCCTCCTCTGCGATTATGTACATCGATAACGATCCTGCGACGAGGACAGTATACTTCCTTTCTAGGACGTTTATCAACACGAGATTACCACATAAAGTTTATATGTCATCACTACATAGTATTCACATTAGCTTCCACGAAAATGCAACAGAGGGCAACAGAGTACTCACAACATCGATCCACCTCGCCATCCACTTCTCAACAGTCGCCTTGGCTTCGTCAACTAAGCCGAGCTCTACACGGTCTCACATTAGCGGATACATGCATTACTTGCAGAGGGGGGAGTAATCAAACAAACTTACCGAGGAGCAGCTGCACGCCACCGCGGATCCCAGACTCTAGTGCGGATGCTATCCACGCGTGGGTGTACGACGTCTGCTCGCCGACGAAAATCATCTGTAGTAGAGAGGGGTGAGTTTTTCTGCAAGGGTCGAGACGTAACAGCAAAAGAGAGGGGGAAAAGGGGAGGGAGGGAAGGGTTCACGTACGTTATTATACGTCTTGAAATACTCGGGCAGATACAACTGATGCTGCCCAATCGTCGGGCTCGCCCAACTACCACCTTCATACGGATCCAGCATCCAGCAGCGCCGGTTATACTTGCCCGTGTACTGCTCATACGCGACCTGTCCGTGGATTTCCGCCATGGCGTCGACCATGTACTGCACGTGCTCCTCCTCGGGGACCGAGACCCAGCGCGCGCCCCAGTCGCCCGAGGCATAGGATGCGAGGATGGTTGCGGGGCCAGTGCAGTTCAAGCAGTACGACGGGTAGCAGATAGAGCCTATGCCGGGGATATCCGTGCTTGTCGAGCACCCGCCGAAGATGGGGTTGGCATAGTGCTCCCAGAAACGCGTTTTATACTCTAACGCGACTTTGCAGGCTGATTCGTAGGGCATGTCTTCGATCGCGTTGGAGATGGTCGCGGGAAGGTCTTTGGAGGGGAGGGCGAGTTGTTAGATTGTGATGTCATGAAGGAGAATGACACATGATTAGAGGAGGCAGGCTTACAGGGCACTCGCATCTTCTTGACCATGGTAAAGGGGACCGCGAACACGGCATAGTCGTACGAGGCGTTCTGGAACACCGTGTCCGTATAGTTGTCCCTCCATTGCAGATTAACTCGCTGAGCGTCACCAAGCCATTCTACCCGCTCGATCTTTCGGTTCATGGTGGTTACGTTATCAACCAGTGGGTGAAAGGACTGTGGAAGTCTGCTTAAACCTAGAAGTCGCTAAGTAATTGACGAGTTGTGAATAGGGACATAGGTGGGATACATACCTCCATCAATAGTCTTCCACTTAGTAGCTCCGAAATAGACATTATCGTAAATCTACATATGTGTGAGTCAATATCTATCGGGATTTTTATAAATGCGAGTAAACTTACAGCGTTCCAGAATGAGGTCGCGTCGCCTTGGAGCATGTTGGTGTCGTTTAAGGTCGCGTTGAGATAGTTCACCATGTAAGCGAACTCGGACCTATTCACGATCGTTGGAGATTAGCAAGCGTGCCTAGGCGATTATTAAAGAAACCTTTTTTCTAGGAGTATAAATTCAACAACAATAAACAACGCGGTGTTGAAGCAATTCGAAGACTTACCAAGTATCGCCACCAAGTCCACCGAGGCCATTAACTGCGCATAAGTTAATGATAATCCTCAGAAGCATTAGGGTAAGTGAAGTTATTTACCTAGAAAATCTCTATGAGCTTTGAATGTATTAGTAGCCAACTCGACCATAAGAGTCTCGTTCGAAGTGATAGTATCTATCTTGTCAGACAATGCCTTCGTCGACGAGTCCATCGGATACGAGATTATCAAGGACTTGTTTGCCTGAGTCTGGGCTACGGTGGGAGGTAGCCCTGTATCTAATTTAATCCCATTGTGATAGTATAACCCGTTGGGATTTGACTGGATCCAGGGGATGAAATCAACGCTGAAATTCTTGTCGTAGCTGTTAAGGGTGTTCATTTCACTGGCGAGTTGGAACACCTATGTCCCTGTTAGCCAACCACAGTCAGGTCTAGGAGGTGGATCTTCAAGAGGAAATCCACTCTCGACTTACCATCTGATGGTCGGTAATGTTGTAAGTCACATTCGAGTATTCTATGCTCTCAGGAAATCGCATAGGACCCATCTCCTGGTACGAATAGTCGAATGGCCCGCCGGACAAATATTCCGTATGTACCCTACCACCAAGTCGCTGGCTGGCCTCGATAATGCTCAAATTCGTGAATCCAGCTTGGTGTAGAACCAGATATGTCATTAACCCCGACATGCCAGCTCCGACAATGGCTACCTCTTTCGACTTAGCCTTTTCAACGTCGACGGCACAAATTTCCTTGTTCTTGAGTAGCTCGACCCCGTCAAACCACGGACCCCACGCATCGATACCCGTCGCGTTCGTCATCTCGATGCTGTTTGCGCCGCGTCTTTTCAGTTTCCTCCTACTGAGTCGCTGGGGCTCGCTGCGGCCGATCAGATGTCCTCGTTGGTCCCATGCCGAGATACATCCATCGAACTTCGCATCTTTCGGCAAGACCCAAACTAATCGTGACTCTTTTGTGTTGCTGCTCTGGCCAAGAGTATGGTGAGCTTCGCTAAGCCGTGTATTGTCGCATCGGCCGTACGAGTATGTTATAACGCCATCTATAAGATTATTAAAAGATATGTGAACGTTCGCAAGGCCTGAGCTAAGACTTGAACGTGTCTCAAGTTTAACTGGAAGAAGAGAAGTAGAAGCAGAAGCAGGTAATGCCTGGCTTGCCAGAGCAGCGAGAGATAGCCAAAACATTGTCGCAACCAACACCAGAACAGGTGATGCTACTGATCAAGAACAAACAAGAGCTCATATTGACTGTCCTTACGGTCATATATATCCAAAGTTTCCCCCTCGTAGGACTATCCCATACTGTCATGTTAGGTACTTTAGGTACTCACGAACCCTGGCGTCGTAAGAGGCGATATCGCATGTTCATTGAACCGAAACCGAAGCTCTGCTTATCACAACCACTTGCGATCCAGTATGACAGAACGTAGGGCTTATAGTGGATTATGGTATGACAGACATTACTGGCTTAAGTCTTGTGAACTGTATGATAGCTATAAGCCTATTCTACTAGTCCCTCTTGAGGTAGTTACCGGATACGGTAGGTGCCTACGACGGGTAGAGATAACGACCATTGACAGGTAGTATCTAATGCTGTCTTTGAACGTAGTTCCTGGCTCAGGAACTAAGAGCCGTCGGAAGCCACAACATAAGCCTCCATCATCTTGACCGCTTGTAGGTAGCTGGGACTGTCGTGTCTTGTGCAGTCCTTCGCCTATAGGATTCCGACCTTTCGGGTAAGGTCGCGCGCCCTTGGCGGGAATTGTCATCTTTGGCGTCTTGATATATTACGTACCTGGTGGTAAGAGTGCGCCTTCTCTGCGTCATTTCTTGATCCGTGACTTGATTAGGCCGCTGGAAGACTGAGCTCTTAGCGTATGATTCAGAGTACCCGATGTCCAATCAGTTAACATTAAAGGCATGCGGCCGTGGCGTTGATAAGCTGGTAATCATACTCGTATAGATAATGGAGACTTGGGTATTACCGAGGCTTTGTGGTTGCCAACTCGGTGGTAGTAATGGTAGTAATAATAAGAGTTGAAATACGTGACGATAAAGAGAATTTTTTAACTAGGATAATTTTAATGCATTTTATCTCTTAAGACCATGATATTAATAATACCTTAAATAAACCGATGATAACTTCTTTACAGATTAGTACGCTTGGCATATGAATGGATGACCTCAATTAGAGGAAAGGGCGTACCCAAGTCTTACCAATCTGTATTATGTTAGCCATACTATAACATCAATGTGATATCTCCGGATTTATTTTTGAACAAGGGAATCCTGTCATCATAATATTCGTGTAGTCACTGGGCTAGAGGTTGGTCGTATCGTGATCTTAGGCATGAATCTTATGTTATATCGTAGTATTTCGTAATGGATCTGTTTAAGAAAAGATAAGTTGATAAGATACCGCTGCTGAAGAGATGGGCGGCGAAACTGAAAAAGGTATTGAAATCGCAATGCGAGAATCAATTCTTCCAGTATGAGAAATCTATAGTTGTACTGATATACCTTCTCAGTCGTTGTTTATTGCGTTGTCATAATTCCACCGAGAAAAACAAGGCTACATGCTGAGCCTCTTTCTTAGCCTACTATGTAAAATACTGAGTAACCAGGTAACCCGGAGAGTCAATAGTCAATGGCGGACGAAAGTACAATAAAAGGCGGAGTACATGCATGCTAAGAGCATGGCACACAAGAGAGCCTCACGACCGTAAGCCGCCCACCTTCGGATATAGTCAGCCTGGGAAGATGAGATGCGGGGGAGTCCATGGTCTTTTCCAAGCCCCTCTCGGAATGCCTTACTCATAAAAGCTGTGTGTCTTTTACCAACTATTGGATAAACTTAACCGTAGAAAAGCATCCATGTGAATTTGATGAAATTAAGACGATTTAAAAGTATAGCTTTCCCTGGTTGACCTGGGTCAACTGCTAGGAAACTCCATTCTTCACAATTGCTCGCGCCATGGTAGAGGTGTTTACACTGATTGGCGGCCTTGCGGCTATGATGCAACTGGCTGGTTCCGTGGTCGAGTTGACAAAAGAATTGCGTGTTTGTGTGCGCACTATACGCTCCGCGCCGAAAGAAATCGAATACTTTATTCTTCAGACCTACATATTTACTAATTTACTCTGTTATTTTCACGAGGTCGCGAAAGGATCTGCTGCTGTTATGAATGAAAACCCCAAAGCTAAGCGAGCCAGAATGGTACGACAAATCTTGAGATAGTGTAAGTCTGTTAAGAGAGGGTTTGCTTATCTCGTTCGACGTTTTATTGATATTAAGGGTGCCGACACGGCGTCACTGAATACGCTCTGGGCACGATTGCTGTGCCTTTGGAAAAGGCTAGACGTGCCAGAGTTGCACTTAAATCTTCAGAGCGCAATAGCTAATAGCCAATATGAACCTACCATGAAACCTGTTTACGTTAGAAGAATTGAAAATAAAAAACACGGACAGCGAAAAGATGTACGTTGCATGGTTAAATGCACTAGTACGGTTCGTATTCAACTGCTGATTGTATCACGCGAGATGCTTCAGGAACAGCTTCAAAACTGGATTGCAATAGCCAGAAAGCGAAGGCGCGAATTGGCCGAGTATAAGAAGCGTACGGTATCGTTGGTTGCTGCGCCAGAAATAGTCTCGGAAGAAGTAGGTGGTACAATTGAAGAGAATAGCCGCCAACTAGAAAGATACGTTGTCCATGCAATTCGGTCGTATACCCAAAGAGAAACGGTTTCAACAAGCACAAGGTCTTCGCGTCGAGGGCCACAAGGTCCAACAACACATAACCCCCGTTATGTACCATTTAAACAGACCCCCGATGAATTGGTTGGTACGCAGAATGACCGCCACCAATGACGTCGAGTGGACAACTCTCTGAAAGAATCGTTGGCGATAGAGTGATAGACGAAGTGGCACAGTACGATTTTGGAGATCAGCGTGGGGCCAGCAGAGGAGGTCGCTCTCATCCCAATATGTGCTCAGATACCGCTATTGAATTTGAGGCTCCTGATCGGGTTCAACAAAAGGCCAACTAATCTTACGGCGAAGAGCTCCCGCAAGTAGGCGAACAGGATTCGGGGCCCGAAGAAACCGAACTTCCGAGGACAAACTCTAATGAGCTATCCGAAATACCTCTTTATGCTTACCTGGACGGGCGGTCAGAGAGAGAGTGGACCCATCAGAGGTAGCGTCTAAAAGCTCACCAGCCACTCAGCTGGAAGGCTCTGAAGTTAGTCATAATATGTAGCTTGAGAGAGGGGAGCAAGGAGAGCGAAGAGAGAGCTGTGGGCCATATATCGCGGTGGCTCCTTTTGGAGGGCCACGGTTAAGGAAACGACCACGACGACCAAGGCCACAATCACCTATACCGAAGAATAAAGAGAAAAAGAAAAAGAAAAAGAAAAAGGGTAAGGGTTGTTTATGTGAGATTGCTAGGGTCTGGTCATTTGATTATCTTGTTTTGGTCGTTTGATTGGAGGACATAGCTGAGGCTAAAGAGAATTATGAGTATCATAAGGAGGATACTTAAGTAGCTTATTACAGATGGCGTTTGGAGTATAAAGTAAGACGCGGTGCGTAAGTTCAGCTCTTACGACATTTGGGATTTTTATTTTAATTATGCAAGGTACCAAAATACATACATACCTATGTAGTACTACGGGACTACCTACCTGGTATGTTAGGAGGTACCTACTTGGTAATTTTCTAATGGGGCATTTGATTCATTGCGATTCAACTCTGATTGGTTAAACTTATTTAATGCCAACTCCCTGCTGCCCCTGACTACCGGGGAAAACGGACTAAAAAATGTCCCAGGCCAAAATTAAAAACAAAAAAAAAGAGATAAAAAAGGGTTGTTAATCAGCAAGTTTAACTCAAGAACGACTTTCTGATGGGTCACTCTTTTTCGGTCTTTTGACCCTTTTTTAATTCCTAATCTCAATTGACGAGCTTCTTCTGAGATTGCCCGTTGTCCATTCTTTAACAGATATTTGATTTATTCAAAATGTCTTCAAGATATTCCTTACGTGCAACTCCTAGGTATGTAATTATCTTCATTACGGTGGTACGGCAGGCGGGAAATTATGAATAGGGGGCTTCGGATGTGAGGGAGAATGGTGATGGCCTCAATGCGTGGTGAATTGTGATTGGGAACGGTATTTACTAATATTGTGGGTTGCCTATCATCTTACAGGAAAAAGGAACTCTTCGATGGTATGGTCGAGACACCTGGCCGCCGCGCGACGCGTCGTAAATCTCAGTTCCCCTCTATCGCGGATGGCGCGTCCGACGATGGCGACTCGAGTTCTGCTGCGGAAACAACCAGATCTACCAGGGCTACACCCGTACGACGTCGCAGAATTGGCAAGTTCATTGAGAACATAGACGATTCGGACACCGCGTCTAAAGACGAGGAATTCAGTCCTGTCGCCAAAGAGAAAATCTCCCCAGCCCTCAACGGCAACGGCAATGGAACATCAGAAAGGGTAGAAAATGGGCACGCGAATGGGCACGCCAACGGACATACGAACGGGCACGCGAACGGCAATTTTAACGAGAAAGTCGTCGACGGCTGGAAGCCGGGTATGGATCCCAAGATCGACCATTCTGGCGTTTTTGAGTTTGGAGGTAGCTTTGGTACCCTGGCCCTCATGATCGGATTTCCTATTCTCATGTGGTATATGTGGATCGGTGCAACGTATTACGATGGCAAAGCCCCGCTGCCGCTCGAAGGGGAGTCTCTTGCTGACTTCGGCTGGCGCATGTGGAATCACGTCTACACCGGCGCCTTTCCTCACCTGCGAGCATGGAGAATCTACTGGACTTACATCATCTTCGAGGCTGCTTGCTACTGTCTTCTCCCCGGCGTCTGGGGCTACGGAAAGCCTCTTCCCTTCGAGGGAGGGAAGCAGCTTAAGTACTACTGTTCGGCGTATGCTAGTTTCTACTTCACCATTCTCGTCATAGGCGTACTGCACTTTACCGGATTGTTTAGGATCAATACCCTTCTGGATGAGTTTGGCCCTCTCTTGTCTGTTGCTATCCTGTCTGGTTTCCTGGTTGCCTTCGTTGCATACTTCTCGGCGTTGATTCGCGGTGCTCAGCACCGAATGACTGGATACCCTATCTACGACTTCTTCATGGGAGCCGAGCTGAACCCGCGCATGTTCGGCATCCTCGACTTCAAGATGTTCTACGAAGTGCGCATTCCCTGGTATATCCTATTTGGACTAACATGTGCGGCTGCGGCTCGGCAATACGAGAACTATGGTTATGTTTCAGGCGAAGTATGGTTCCTGCTCATGGCTCACTATCTTTATGCCAACGCCTGCTCCAAGGGCGAACAACTCATCATTACTACCTGGGATATGTACTATGAAAAATGGGGTTTCATGCTGATCTTCTGGAACATGGCCGGTGTCCCTCTATCCTACTGTCACTGCACCCTCTACCTTGCTAGCCACCACCCATCGGAGTACGCCTGGAACAAATACGCTTTAACCGCCTTCTTTATCTTATATATTGCCGTATATATCGTCTGGGACCAGGCCAACGGACAAAAGAATGCCTTCCGGAGTAAAGAGCGTGGCAACCTCCGGAAGCGCTACGCCTTCCCTCCCGTTCCGTGGATCTACATTGATAACCCCAAGACCATCGAAACGCAGATTGGTGACAAGCTGCTTGTGGACGGTTGGTACGGATATGCGCGCAAGCTGCATTACACCTGCGATGCGTTCTTTGCCATCAACTGGGGCCTGATAACGGGATTTAACAGCCCCTTCCCCTGGTTCTATCCGGTTTTTTTCTGCTGCATGATCGCGCATCGTGCCCACAGGGACATATCGCGCTGCCGGACGAAGTATGGCGACGCTTGGAAAGAATACGAGAGACAGGTGCCGTACCTATTTATTCCGGTACGTTTTATTTATAAGCAATCATCACCGAATCAATTGTAACTAATTACTCTGCAGTACGTCATCTAAGCCTTTCAAAAATCGACGCTCGGTAGCCATGTATCATACCACTCCTATTTGGATTTCGATCCCATCGACGCTAGACACGAGGACGACGACGATGATACACGCATGCATGTGTAGGCTTGTAGCCGCTAGCAGTTTTTCTATCTTGTATATACTTGAGATTGCCCCCTCTACAACCTTTTAAAAAAGCGCGACTGCAGGCCAACACGAATAATGGCGATGGGAAGATGCTGCGAATGAATCAAGTCGGAAAGAACCCTAAGTCATGCCGCTACGATAGCCCTTAATAGAGATGAAATAATTGAGTAATTATGAGTAAATCCTTTTTATTGGATGCATGGATATATATCCGTCAGCGTTAACCATAGTCATGCCTAATTTATGTGCCATATGCCAAGCGGACAGGCGAGAGTGCGTGGAGTATTTCTTCACGTATTATCCATCCATTAAAACATACACTCCCTTAGCCTTCCCGTTCCTCCCAACTCATACTCAATCCATCTCCCTACGCCTCTCCGTCCGGCAACTAATACAGCCCCGGGATTCATCACATGACACCCCTCATAAGTAACGCAAAACGGCGGTGCTGTAGGGTCCGCGAGCACCATCGCCGTCGGCAAGGGATACAAGTGCAACGCGGTGGCGTGGTCCCAATGTACCGGTCTGATCGCATGTCGGAACGGACATAAATACCCTTGGTCAAGCATCGTTTTGACGAGCTTGCGCGCCGTCCGCACATCATGGGGGATCTCGGGCTCTGTGTTCTTGGTGGTGGCGTCGACGTCCATCGCTTCGGCACTATCGACCGCGGCCTCCATGTCTATGTCATCGTCGTCTTCGTTTGCGGGGGTTTCATGTTGGTTCCCTTCCGCGTCTGAGGTAGAAGAGCGCAAGCGCACGGCTGTGCGCCGCATGCGGGCCGACATGTCGTCCCGGAACAGGACGATCTCGTGTGCGGGCCCGAAGACGGATAGGCGTGCGGGGTTACTAGTCCAGATAGCCTCGCCGGGACACTTCTTCGCGTTTTCAGGCAGCTCTGCGTTCGCAGTAGCAAAGGCACGGCGCACTCGGCTGGTGAACATATCAGGCACAGGCTTGCGAGGTAAGGGAACTGCGGCGCCAGCACCGAAAGTCGAGGCCCAGCCGTCGTTGTCGCCGGGCACGAATACGAAGGTGGTGGATTGGAGTAGGGCTGGGAAGTCGGAGAGTACGGATGCTAGCGCGTCAAAGTATTCTTTGTATTCTACACTGCCGCCGCTGGCCCCGCCACCTGCCATTACGGCATGTTGTGTGAAGTTTCCTGTTAACACGAATGTCATAGGCGTACTACCCTCTGGCTCTGTCGAGTAAATGGCCAGGATCTTGCGTAGGGCTTGAAGAGCCCGTGGTTGATCGAGATTAAGCTCACCTATGACGACGATGCGGCCACAGCTAGGAGCATCAGCATCAGGATCTGCCGTAGATGATTGGGTCGGACGTGGCCTCCTGAGGATCCGTTGCTCGAGTTTTCGCATTTTAGACCCTGCAGCACGCTCACTTCCGACACCTAAGAAGTCGATCCAGCCGAATCCACCTCCTATGGTGTGATCGTCCAGCCCACTGACACCGAGAGTGGCTTTGCGCTTCTCGCAGGGAGGCTGTCCGATGAAGAATCCCTGGAAACGGCCACCGATGATACCACCTACACCATTGCTGCCACCGAGCCCCCTACCGGTTGATTCTTCCTCTTCTTCGTATACTCCGTCTATTAGCACTATCATTCCGGGCGTAAACCAAGCCGAGTCTTCTGGTATAGCCACAGCCTGCGAAAGGTCCACCGATATAGTCCCAGTTAAGTCGCTGATCGCGAGGTTTCCGGTTGGCAAGACTGATAATAGTCCAAGAAGCATGTGATGGGTGCCATGGCGGCCAAGTAGATTCGCAATTGGTGTGATTTTGTAGGTTTGCTGGGTAGTCATGGTAGATGAACCAGATCGTTTTAATGATGGAGTGGCCTTGGTAGTTGCTACTGTCGAGCTTTGGAATGATTCATTTCGGAGAAGTCTCTGGTGTATAACGTTATATATATTCCTGAAGAGCGTCGTTTTATGGGATGCTGGCGGCATTAAAGATGGTTTCGAGGGGTCCCTGTGATTACTATGAGCCTTGATATGTAGTTACTTATAACGCAAGGGAATTCGTACCTCTCAAAGTGTTTCTTCGTTACGTTGTATAATAACCGTGGCTGGTCGTATGCGTTGATAACTTTCAACCATTTTCTCGGATGCTTTAAACTCTCGTCGTCGAGCTCGTCGTCCTCAACACCAAGCCCTGACATACCAAAGCTCGTTGCGCTGTCATGGCGTGTTAGGGATTTGCTTGGTCTCAATCCTAACCTCGTGTTTGTTAAGTCGGCTTCCTGGCTGGAGTCTAGGACCAGGCTATTCTGGCGATTTAATTCTCGTCCCGACACTATTCGGCCACCGCTCATGTTCCCCTCTAACGTCTTGAGGATATCTTTCAGCTCGCTACTGGCGCCGTCCACTATTACGCCTCCGTTTCGGTTCTTCCAGCTCTTTGCCACCTCCTCTAAGACCTTCTCCCCTAGTCCTTCTTCGCGCCATCCCGAACCGCAATGCCGACCAATGAATGTAGCTAATTCTTGTAGTGCAGAGGATGTGAGGGTTAAGCTATGCTTTTTCGTGAATGTTCTGAATGCTAGAGGTCTTAAAGTCGCTGGAGGGAGGAGGATTGGAAGAATGGTGGCCTTAGTTGGCGGTGCTATGGCGAACGGTTTAAGAGTATGTGCTGGCGTTCCAAAGGCCGGTGACGAAGACGGGATGGGATTCGAAGGAGCGGGCGTTTTAGGCGCGAATATTGACGCGGCAGTAGGCTGGTTTCCTTGCATTTTGAGTTAAATTCTATTCAATTGTTTTGTTTAAGTAAAGCCATTCCAATTGGCCGTAAAATAAGATTAAAATAAGATTTCCTATAAGAACAAATTGGTAGATATTTCGATATATTTTTGGGGGGTTGGAGACGCGGTTCAGCGCGTTCATCGCGTTAATGAGCAGTAAGGGTACCTAAGGTACCAGGTAACTAATCAAATGTGGGGCAATAGATATGATATTAGGTAGGTAGGTACCTAGGTTATTAGCATGTTCCACTTGAAGTATTAGATACCTCTAGGTACTTTAGAGGCTGTTTGAGATAATAAGCGGTGCTTTGCTTATGGCTCGTGCTACCCTTGTAAATAAGTATACATGATTTGATATTATTTATAAAGCGATATTTATTATAATTTAATTTATTTATAATTTTATAATATATTTAAATATATTTAATAAATTTTAATAAATTTATTTATTTTTATTATAAATTAATAACTTAATAAAATTATATTAAATATAAAAGTAAAATGTTAATTAATAATAATTTAATTAAACTTCGGTTAATTAAATTTTATAAATTTTATAAAATTTAAAAACTTTATTAAAATTTATAAAATCTTAAAAATTAATAAAATAATATATAAATAAAAAAAAAAACTTACGGATATATTTAAACCATTATATATTTAAATATTTATTTACGTTTTTTTAATTATTAATTTAAATTTTATATTTAATTTATATAAAAGGAAAAACTTTAAGCTTTTTTAATGAACATTTATAACGTTTTATTAACATTTAACCCGTATCGTTATTATTTACTTAAAATCAAAACCTTAGTTATTACATTTTAACGGACTTAAATGTAAGTTCGTTACATAAGAACGTATATTTCTTTTATATATTAACCCGAAATTACTTTTAATTATTTAATAGTAATTTAATATTTTAAACTTAATTTTAAAAAAGTTAAAGCTTTTAATATTAAAATTAAATAATAAATAAATAATTAAATATGCGAACTTAATTATATTAATTTAAATTTTTAAAGTTTATAATTATATATATTTATTAATAAGTTATTTATAAATAATAAGGATTTTAATTTTTAAATTAATTATATTATTATTTTAAATAATAAAAAATTATTTATTTATTATTTTATTAATATTATTTTAAAGCGTTTTTTACTTTTAAAAGCTTTTTTTATTTTATATATTAACTGTTAATAAGTACGTATATAAAGTTAAAAACAATCGTTAATAAAGTAATAATAAGTAAATTAAATAATAATAAAATAAAACTGGTGTATTAATGATATTTAAGGAAAGAAAAATTTATTTAAAATTAATTAATAATATAATATCCTTATATATTCGTAATAATAAGTATATTGTTTTTTTTTAATATTAATAATAAAACATTTTATCGTTAATAAAATGCTTATATGTTAATTACTATATAACTATTATTAACTTTTTTCTTTATATTAATGCTTAATATAAATAAGTAACATTAATAAAAAGAATAATTAATTTAATAACTTTAAAATAATTATATAAGAATTAAAAAATAAATAATATTTATTAAATATATAAAATATGTAATTTTATAAATATTATAATAAAAGCTTTTTTAAATAAAGTTATAAAACTTTTAATAGAAAATAATTAAATTAACTTATAATTAAAAAAGTAAATAAAATAAAAATTAAATAATTAAGTTTATAATTAAGTAATTATGAAAAAGAAAAAGAAAATAAGTAATAATTTGTTACGAACCAACAGAACGGGAACCATACCTTGTATGGAAGCGGGGATCTTGAAACGTACGATCCCAAAAACAGATAAACCTTGGCAATCCTAATGGAGGGAAGTGATCTTAGTGATCTTAGTGATCTTAGTGAGATCACCAAGATCACCAAGATCACGAAGGCTTCAGGCCCAGAGTGGGGGGGTCTACGGGTATTTAAAACCATTATGTATTTAGACATTCATTTACGTTTCCTTAGCTATCAATCTAAGTCTTATATCTAACCTATATAAGGGGAAGGACTCCAAGCTTTCCTGACGAACACTTTTAACGTTTTATCGACACTTGACCCGTATCGCTACTGTTTACCTAAAATCAAGACCCCTGTTACTATATTCTAACGGACCTGAGTATAGGTTCGTCACATAATTATGTAATATAAGTACGTACTTTATTGCAGTACGTATTTAATAAAAAAAGTACTTATGTATTTTAAATTATATAAAAGTAAATTTTCTTTTATTTTTCTTTAATTTACCTTTTTTCTTTAAATATTAATAATATATTAATTTTACCTTATTATTAATTACTTTTATTATTAATTCCTTTTATATTATGTATATATTTATTAATAAATTCTTTTAAATATATAATTAATAAATATAAATTAGTAAAACGAATTATTTTAAATAAAAATAAGTTTTTTATATTCAAATTTTAAATTAACTTAATGAAAAGAATAAATATTAAATAAAAGTTATTTATTATATATTATTTATAATTAAACGGATAAATAAAATAATTAAATTAAATATTAAAATAGTATTTTTATATATATTAACGAAATATAAAATAATTAAGTAAAATTATTATTATAAGTAAAAATAATATATAATAACTTTATAAATGAAAATATAAAAATATTTTTATTTAAAGTAAATATTAATTATAATTTTTTAATTATAAAGTTAATTAATATAAAAAATATATTTATATTTAAAGTAAAAGCTATAATAAAATAAATTATTATTATATAAAAGTATTTAATAAATAAATTTAAGTTTTTATAGATTAAAATAAAGAAATATAATAATTTATATAAAATTAAAGGATTAATTTTTTAATGGTTCTATAACATAAGTACGTACCCCGTCACGGTACGTACTTAATAAAAAAAAGTATTTATATACCTTAAGTTACATAAAAACGAGTTTTCCTTCATTTTTCCCTAATTTACTTTTTCTTTTTAAATAATAATAATACACCAGTTTCACTTTATTATTTAATTGCTTTTATTATTATTTGCTTTTATATTACGTACGTATTTATTAACATTTTTAAAAAAGGAAATAAAGTTTATTTATTATAATAAAATAATAAAATTAAATAATAAAATAAAAATTTAAATTATAAAAAGCTTAAACCGTTTTAAATTAAAAGAATTATTTTAAAAATTAATTATAAATTATTATTATTAATAAAAATAAAGTTACATTTAATTTTTTATATTTTTTTATTAAAATTAATATTTTAAAATGTGTTTATATAAATTATTTTCAACATTAAAGTAAATTAAAAATATAAAGTTAAAAAATATTAAATTAAATATTTAATAAAATAAAAAAATTACTTATTAAAAGAAAAAATATAAAAATTAATTAAATATTTTAAAAATGTTTAAGAACTTATTAAAAATTTTTATTAAAAAAAACCTTAATTGTTTATAAATAAAAAAAGATTTAAGTTTAAATTAAAACTATTTTAAAAAAAAGTAACTCCGGCAAAATTATCCTTAAAAACGTTAAAAAACGTAATTATATTAAATAAACTTAAAATATCTTTATTTTAATCTTTTTTTCTTTTAAACGTTTAAGTTTTTTTTATAACATATAATTTTAATAATTTTAACTTTTATCGCTTTTTTTAAAAAGTAAAATTATTTAAATTATTTAATATGTTTAAATATTTTATTTTAATATTTATTAATTTTAATTTAATATTTATAAATTTGTTAGTAAGTACGTATATATGGTAAAAATAGTAAACAAATAAAATAATAATAATAGGGTTAAAATTAATATATTAATAATATTTAAAAAAAGAAGAATTTATTTAAGGTTAATTAATAATATAATATTTTTTTATATAATAATAATAAATATATTATTTTTTTTAATATTAGTAATAAAGTACTTTATCTTTAATAAAGTGCTTATATATTAATATTATATAATTACTACTTATTTTATTTTCTTTTTATTATTAATTAATTATAAAAGTTATTATATAATAAAAAATATCCTTAAAAAAAACGTACGATAGCGCGTGCTTATATTAGTCCAAATATATGTTAATACGTATATAAATTATCTTACACACGGGTTAAAGTGCATAAATATTAGTACGCATTTATATTAATGTATTACACATTTTTGTAATAAGTTAAAGTTAAAACTATAATAGCTTAAATTAAAAGCTGTTCCACACATTAAGCCGTATTAATTTATGTTATATTATCTTATATTTAAGTTAATTAGTAAGTCCTTATGTAATATCTTTTATTATAACCGAAACTTAAATTTGGTTATAATAACCCGTTATTATAATAACATATAACTATTTTTAAGCTTTTTACGTTTTACTTATTTTTCTAAGCGTAAATTAATTTAATTATTCTTTATTAATGTTCTTATAACTTTATTTAATAATACTTTAATTATAATATTAATTAAATTATACGTGTTATAAATTTAATTAATATTATTTATTTCTTAGTTTTTATATAATTATTATAAAGTTATTAAATTAATTATTAACTTTTTTTTATTAATGCTTTTTATTTATATTAAATATTAATATAAAAAAAAGAATTAATACATAAAATAAAAAAAGCCTTTAAAATTAATAATTAATTTAAAATAATATTAATAAAATAATAAATAATAAAACTTATGTTAAAACCTTATATTATTTTATAAATTTTATTAATAAATATATTATAAGTAATATATTTATATTTAATAAAAGATTAATAAATAATATTTCTAGTAATTTAAAATTTATTACTTTAATTTATAAGCCTTTTATTATTTAAAATAATAATATAGTTAATTTATAAATTAAAGTTTTTATTATTTATAAATAATTTATTAATAAAAATATATAATTATAAATTTTAAAAATTTAAGTTAATATAATTAAGTTCTTATAATTAATTAATTATTTATTATTTAATTTTAATGTTAAAAGCTTTAATTTCTTTTAAATTAAATTTAAAATATTAAGTTATTATTAAATAATTAAAAGTAATTTTAAATTAATATATAAAAAAGATATACGTTTTTTAAGCCTTTTATTTTACAAATTATTTAATTATATTTAAAGATTTAACATTTAATAACGTTAGTT